GGAACCAACTCCCGAAAAGAAACCCGATTTCGATTCAATGCTTGCTCGTTTTGTTGTTGCATCAGAAAAGGGAAACGATGATACCAAAGAAATACTTAGAAATCAACAAGCTGCAATCAAGAACATTGAGTACCAAATCAGGAAACTATCAAAGCAATTCAATGATAGAATATCGGGCTCACTTCCAGGAAGCACCAAGCAAAACCCGAAATGAGCTCATATCCAGGCCATTACAACTAGAAGTGGGAAAACTGTTACTCATCTGACTCCCATTAACAGAAATAACCCAGATGATGAGTATGAAGGGCAAGAAGCAAGTCAAGAAAAGGATTATGAACAGTCACCACGACGTGGCAAAAATCTGAAAAGAAAAATGTTGAACCCGTTAAGCCATACCGCCCACCCCTTCCCTTTCCCAGTAGAGCAGTACAAGATAAAAATGGTGAAGACTACCGGAAGTTCCTTGATCACATCAACTCCCTTGAAATCAATATTTTGTTCATTGAAGCTTTAGCCAAAATGCCAAAGTATGCAAAATTTCTAAAGGATCTCCTTAAGAAGATGGAAGGTATATCTAAGGTTGTACTAAATGAAACATGCTCAGCTGCAATGTTGAATATGCTACCAAAGAAGATGGGTGATCCAAGAATCTTAACACTACCTTGCCAATTCGGAAACCTAGCCACAAGCCACACTCTAGACTACTCGGGAGCAAGTGTTAATTTTATGCCTTATTCATTCTTCAAGAAACTTGATCTCCCAGAGCAAAGTCCAGTCTGCATGGTCATCCACTTAGCAAACAAAACGATGACCTTTCCAAGAGGAATTTGTGAAGATTTGTTAGTTAAAGTTGTCAAGTTTGTTTTTCTCATGGATTTCATTGTTTTAGACATGGAGGAAGACGAACAAGTCCCAATCATTCTTGGAATGCCCTTTTTGAGCACCGCCCAAGCCTTAGTTGATATACGAGAATCCAAACTCACTCTTCGAGTTAGAGAAGAAGCGGTCACTTTTGGAGTTAATAAAGCAATAAATCACTAAAGGATAAGTGATGATATGGGTTTTTTAGTATATCTATTTGATGAAATCTTGGAGAATGAGCTTGTAGGATGGAAGGAAAAGGAAACCAATGGGTACATGGTGTTACAAGAAGGGGCTATTGATGTTGAACATGATTTGCAAGAAATAGAGAAACTACTAGAGGAAAGTGAGTACAACGAGTTGAAAAAAGATGTTGAAGAAACACCAAGACATGGTCATCGGAATTTTCTCAACGCGACGTAAAAAACTACGACACCACGACGTGGTAGGAGGCCCACGTCATGGTCACTAATAAAAAATCAAAACTCGAGTTAAAAGCTTTGCCTGAACATCTGGAGTATGCATTCTTGGAAGAAGATGAACAAAATCCAGTTATTATAGCAGCTGATCTCACACGACACGAAAAAAGAAAGCCTAGTTGATGTCCTCAACAAACGAAAGAATGTCATCGCATGGAAGATAAATGATATTAAATGCATAAGTCCCACATAATGTTCACATAAAATAAATCTAGAAAAGGGAGCCAAACCTGTGGTGCAACGCCAAAGAAGACTAAACCCGCACATGCAAGAAGTAGTGAAAAAATAGGTAGTCAAACTCTTGGATGCCGATATCATTTTCTCAATATCGAATAGCCAACGGGTGAGTCCGGTGCACGTGGTACCTAAAAAAGGATGCATGACAGTAGTGACAAACGAAGAAAACGAGTTTATCCCGACAAGAACGGTAACCGGTTGGCGCGTGTGCATCGATTATCGCAAGCTAAACGATGCCACACGCAAAGACCATTTCCCTTTACCATTTATTGATCAAATGCTATAAAGATTATCTGGTCACCTTTATTATTGCTTTTTAGATGGTTTTTCAGGATACTTTCAAATCCCAATTGATCCTCAAGACCAAGAGAAGACCACATTCACTTGCCCAAGTGGGACCTTTGCTTATAGACGGATGTCATTTGGGATATGCAACGTACCAGCCACATTCCAAAGATGCATGATGGCCATTTTCCATGACATAGTTGAAAAATTCATGGAAGCCTTCATGGATGATTTTTCGGTTTGCAGGTCCTCTTTTGAAGATTGCTTGTCTAACCTTGACTTGATGCTAGCAAGATGTGAAAAGACAAACTTGGTTTTAAATTGGGAGAAATGTCATTTTATGGTTAAAGAAGGAATTGTATTAGGGCATAAAGTCTCCAAGTTAGGGATAGAGTTGGACCGTGCAAAGGTTGACATTATAGCCAAGTTACCACCTCCAACAAATGTGAAAGGGGTAAGATTCGTTAATTATTTATAACAAAGTCATAAAAATATTAAAAAATCACTTTGAAGTTTAAAAAAATCAGTTTATTTAGATTTCAGTTTATTTTAGTAGCCTGCAGATGTTAAAAAAACAAACAATCTTCTTTTTTCAGACTGCAGACGTTTGGTCCACCTCTTCTACTGCAGAGGTCTACAGATGTGGTCCGCAGACTGCAAACATTTTGTCTCAGAAAAAACAAACAGCACCTTAGTTTTATCAAAAACCATTGTTTTTACTGACCATTCTGCCCTTAAGTATCTTTTTTCCAAGCAGGATGCCAAACCAAGATTGATCTGATGGGTGCTACTTTTACAAGAGTTTGACATAGAAATAAGGGATAAAAAGGGAATGGAGAATGTGGCGGCCGATCACCTCTCGAGACTAGAAAACCCAGAATTGGAAGAGTTGGAAGAAAACAAGATTGGAGACAATTTTCCCGAAGAATATTTGATGGTAATCACGGGAGAGGTGCCATGGTATGCTGATATAGCCAACTATTTGGCTAGTGGTTATCTTCCAAAAGAACTGACTCGTCAACAAAAGAAGAAACTATTTTCAGAATTCAAGTACTACTTTTGGGATGAACCATACCTCTTCAGAAGCTGTACGGACGGAATGATAAGAAGATGTGTTTTCGGGAAAGAAAGTTTAGAAATCTTGAAGCATTTCCATAATGGGCTCACCGGAGGACATCATGGAGCACAGTATACGGAAAAGAAGGTCTTTGATTCCGGATTTTATTGGCCTACAATTTTTAAAGATGCCACTCAATTTGTCAAGGAATGTGATTCATGCCAACGGCCGGGAAACATTTCCACCCAAAACGAGATCCCCCAAAATATAATACAAGTGTGTGGAATATTTGATGTTTGGGGGATCGATTTCATGGGAACTTTTTTGATGTCTTGAGGGAATAAATATATATTAGTGACGGTCGATTATGTCTCTTAATGGGCGGAAGCACAAGCTTTACCTACAAATGATGCTCGGGTGGTAGTTAGATTTCTAAAAAAAATTGTTTTTGCATTTCGATGTTCTGAAGGCTCTAATTAGTGATCAGGGAACTCACTTTGCAAATGAACTACTAGCAAAGGTGTTACAAAAATATGGTGTATACCATAGGTTTGCAACACCTTACCATCCACAAACAAGTCGGCAAACCGAAGTTACAAATCGGGCATTGAAAAGAATTCTGGAGCGATCGGTTGGAAGTAATAAGGAGTGGACAAAAAAGCTTGATGATGCATTATGGGCATTTCGTACCGCCTTTAAAACACGTATTGGTACTGCACCATATAGGTTGTTATATGGAAAAAAAATGTCATTTGTCGGTAGAAATTTAACATAAGACATTTTGGGCTTTGAAGATTTGCAACGTTGTGTTGGCTGAACTTCGAACAAACCGTTTAATGCAAATGAATGCTCTTGAAGAATTAAGGAATGAATCATACATAAGCTCCTTGATCTACAAAGATAAAACGAATAAATGGCATGATGCAAGGTTGAGAAGACACAAAGATTTTCAAGAAGGGAAAAAAGGTTCTCCTTTTCAACTTAAGAATGAAGCTTTTTCCCGGGAAGTTACAAACACGTTGGGATGGGGCATTTGTTGTGAAACAAGTGTTTCCACATGGGGCTATCGAATTATTAGCAAAAAGATGGAACTCCATTCAAAGTTAACGGACATAGGGTAAAGCATTATGAGGAAGGCAAGCCAATTAAGGAAAAAGAAAGGGAAACCATGAAATTTGTAGGACCCGCATCAACGTAGGACGGGAAGGAGTCCGACTCACGAATACCCAAAAAGAAGCGCTTTAAGGTGGCAACCTGTGGTTTTAAGTTTGCGTTTTCTTTCCCTTTTCTTTTGTTTGCTTTATTTTCGTTTATTTTCCTATTTTTGTTGATTTTTCACTCCTCTGAATGTCTTTATGAATTTTGTTGAGAGAACTAGCATGGAATGAGTGTGGGGTAGATGTTTTTATAAAAAATTTACCAAAAATAAATTATTTTACTTACCACGACGTGGTCTAATACACCATGACGTGGTACCTTCACAGAATCCGATGGCACGAAAATTGAGAAAACACCACGACGTGGTGTCAAGACCACGACGTGGGGACTATTCACCTGCAGTCAAAATTAGGGTTTTTAACCCAAATCTGTCACTTTTTCTTTTACTTTTCAACCCACATCTCGTCGTGTTCTTTCTCCCCACGAAGACATCCTACCGATATTCTTCAAATTCTCGACTTTTTCAACAACAAGGTATGGTTTTTTACTTGTTTTTCATAGGTAATAATCGATTATAACTGCACTCATGTACGTAATTGCTGATTTGAACTGTTACTTGGATGTTTCACTAGTTAGGGTTCTGAATTTTATCAAAATCGGACTTGATTTTTGATGTTTATGTTATGAATTTTGATTTAAATTACATGTTTTTATGCCCTTAGCAAAACCCAAACTTGATTTGAGTTGGAATGCCATGGATTTTTGTTCAATTAGACTGCAGATTACACGACCTGTTCGTTGACCACGACGACTCATCGTGGTTCTCGTCGTGGTCAATGTTTATTTGGCTTATATTTACTGTTTTCTATCCTAAACTTTCAATTGGTTGTTTGGTTTTGTGTTTTATGCTTCTTTTGCAGGAAATGTCAAGCCGAAGTCGAAGAACACAACCCGGGGCTCGTCCCAATTTTCCATGGTACACATTCCCAAATGTGGTTACTCCGGGACTAATGGCTCAATGGAATGGAAGGCTTGCATGGCTGAGGGAACGTAGGGTGCATGTGCCACAAGAAATCAATTGGACTTGGATGGTGGAGGTGGGTTTATCGAAGGCAATTAAACCATTCCTTGTACAATCTTTTGATGGCACCCAAGGACAGTTTGTGTGTACAGCTTGGAAAATACTTTTTCATATCCAAGAGCCAGTATACAAGGAGCTTGTTGTGGAGTTCTTAGCCACCGTGGCTTTCCGTAAAAAAATGGTGTTCATGAGCCAACAAACCTCACCCTTTGTTTGGGGTGAAAGACGGGAACTTAGCTTGGCGGAGTTTGCTATGATGATGGAACTTTATCTTCCGTCTGAGATCCACACAGAGTCGTATATTGATAGTTTATAAATCAATGTGTTAAGTCGAATGAATAATTCAAAGAAGATCACTATTGGCCCACCATCGCCAATGGAACATACCAATCTGGGACCGCGCAAGAGAGTGAAATTCGGTCTCCTATCCATTTCCTTCTACACCGTTTGATCACCAACACTATCAACCAGAGGCAGGAGGGGACAAATTCCCGATCTTGGATGTGTTTTATTTATGGAGCCTCTTCACTCCGGATGTCCTTATTGACATTTTGTATCATTTAACTGAATTATTGGCGATTCGGGCAGGAAAGGATCGTCGTGGGTCTCCTTTATATGGTGGAATGTTGATTACATGATTGGCACGGTCATTTGGGATCCTCCAAAAACGTGAAGCTTCTATGTTGACATTGGATCCTGGCAAGCCTTTTAGTCCACTCCTTTACAAGCGTGCAAACATTATAGTGGACAATGGGTTTAACAACTATTCTATTCCCAATGACAACCCGCAAAACCAACCCAGGAGGCGAGTAAGGAAAAGAGTTGGTGATGCAGATGAAGACGAGCCACCCGTTATTCTGACTGAAGATGAGATGTCCATGGATCCATCCAACGTTGCCTTGCGCAGGTACCCAAGATAATTTGGGGTGAGGTATAAACTATATGAACATGCACCTTGACATCTTAATGCGACATATGAACCTGCAACGTTCCAACGAGAGTCGGGCTTCATATCCTTATATTTCTACATGGGGCGAACTATGGGCGGAACAACATGGTGGTGCAAGTGGCAGTGGAGGTGGTGGCAATGATGAGGATGAGTGATTTTTATCATTTTTATTCAAGTGGATTCAAGACAGTTTGTTTTTGTTTTTATTTGTTTTTGTGTTTGGGTGGATTTATTTTCTTGGATATTGGTAATGTAGGATTTGGATGTTTTGTTTTGGTTGTTTCCTTGTGCTTCTTGTCTTTAGATTTACCAAGATTCAAGTTTTAGAGAGAAGTCTTTTCGCGTGGGATTTTGACGAGTTTAAGAGAAAAGTTAAGAAAGAGGCGAGAGAGGAGGATTTGAGCATTTAGAGCATTGTTTTGATCACCAAACCTGATGAGTCACGTGTCTAGAAGTTCACATTCTTATTAGAGACAAATTTATTGAAAAATAATGTTGGAAGCTGCACGTATTGTCAGAATTTTTCTCCCACCATGATGTGGTAACCCTCACCACAACGTGGTGTCGTTACAGAAATCATGATTATTTTTTTCACCCACCCAACACGACGTGGTTCCTACTACCACGAGGTGGTGACTTATTGAGTCCTATTTTCGCGTTTTTTTTCTATACATTATGAAGTATCTATGTCCAAGTGTTCAAGTCGAGTTCCATAGCGGTCAACCACTTCCGTTTTCACACTTATGAGCAAGCAATCCTACACACAAGCAACACAATCCACAATGCATCTTCTATCCCAAGGGAGTATGTTCCTTTCTCTCTTTTTTTACTTTTATGTTTAGCATAGTATGCAATGAGGGCATTGCATCAAATAAGTGTGGGGTAGGGGGTTTATTGCATTAGGAAAAAGCATTCGATTTTTGAAAATTTACATTGCTAGTTTTTACAAATATGCATTCATATAAACTTGAACTAGTAGTTTAAATTAGGAAAATCTAGTTAATTAAAAAAATTTGCTAGTATTGTGTGGGATGATCCGGTGAGAGCCCAAATGTTTACCTGAGCCAACACATGTTATAGTGTATTTGTGGCTTCCTATTTTCTAGTGAAAAGTCATGAGATATGAAAGGTAATCGGGTAGTTTATATGATGTAATAAGTTCTACAGCGTGTACCTAAAATCTATCCATGAGCTTATGTAGTCATTGCACTTAGACTAATACCTTTAACCAATAAAGGTTAAAGTTAAGCTCCCTTGCCTAATCATGTAGGATTTGAGTGTGAAAAAAGTGAGATATTTAAAAAAAAGAGAAATTACCAAAAACTTGAAAGAATTTTGGAGCTGTCAAATTATGAAAATCAAAAGATAAAAACTTTGAAGAAACAAAAGTTCAAGATACCAAAAATCAAACAAAGAAGGTTGTGAATTCAAAGACATCAAAAATCAAATATTCAAAGAAGAGATGAATTTGAAGAGCTCCATTATGTATCAAAGTTGTAATTCTTTCTAGATATTATGTATGCTTGGGTAGCTTAACCAAAATTTTTATATTTCTAGGGATTTTCTACTTAGGTTTAATCATGTCTGTTATTATGAATTTCGTTTTTCTGAGTTTACTTGCTGAAATCATGGGCTAAAACCCTATGACTTTCATTTAGTCTAGATGATTTGACTTTTTATGGATTGATTTATGGTTAGTGTTAAGTTTAGTTGGTTATTTGTTACTTTAGCTTATTAAAGAACCTTCCGTGCTTATGAGAACTACTTTTTCTATTTATTGTTAAGTTCAATTAAGTTTGCATGACCATCACTCTTGATTAAACTTGAATCTTATGATCTTTGTGAATTGCAAAATTGTAGGACTAGAGTTTTGACCAAAACCTAAGCTTAAATAGAAAAGTGGGTAAGTAACCGTAGGAGCTAATATATGACGACCAATCATATATTGAATTGATCTAATAAACCCAATCAATCAATTCATTATAAGTCTAATTTAACTCGAATTAAACACTAGTAAACCTGTTAGTTTATCCACTTGATCACCATATGAATGAATTTGTTTGCTAAAGGATTAGGATTAGTGAACATTAACCTAGTCATCTTAGGAATCGGTAACCAACGAAGCATAATCCATTGCACTTCCATAAATTAACCATAATAGCAAGTTTACCGAAGCTAAACGAAAGTCCCTTAATTACCTTGATTTAAATCGTATTTTGTGTTTCTTTCTTTTAGTTTTAATATTTGCTTCAATAATTGATAGTTAGTTTAGTTTGGTTAATTAAGTTTCTAGTTTTTCATAACTAGAGAAAACCCCTTTTTCTAAATTTAATAGTAATTTAGTTATTTAGTAGATAAGAATTAGCTAATCATTATGTTCCCTGTGTTCGATAACTGTCTATTGTGCTATACTATTTTCAACAAGGTACATTGTCTTAGGTAATAATTAGTTACATTAGTAGGATTAACTAGACCATAATTATTTACACATCAACCTTCTATGGTATTAAAGTCTAAAACATAACATAGTGTATTCAACTTGGCCTGAACTTCTGCCAAAACACGATTTGCATGGTCTACATACTACCATCTTATATGGTCTACATGCCAAAACACACTATTTTCCCATACCATTTAATTCTTATTTTATATAATTGTAATTAAACCATTGTTGGATTTTATACTTAGAGTCTAATCACTCTTCATGATCTCTTACTTTGATACTTATAATTCTCAGTTCATTGCACTCAATTATGCCCTTAAGCATAAAACATGATATTTACACTATAGTGCATCACACATTCTAGTTTAAGTTTACTTTAAACTTTGATTCCATTCTATTTTATCACTTTAGCTTATACTAACAAGGTCTGCAAGTCAATTTATACTAATGATGATATCCTTCATCATTATCCACAAGATAACCCAATAATGTATATCATACATATACGTCAGCACAAGGATGTACCAGGTGTATTTCACCCCTGGGTCTATTTCACCCCCGGGTCTATTTCACCCCCGAGTCTATTTCAACTCATATGTCAGTGCTAGGCTGTACCGGGTCTATTTCACCCCCGAGTCTATTTCAACTCATATGCCAGCACAAGGCTGCATCAGGTCTACTTCACCCCACATACATATAGTAGACAGGCACACATGCATAAAAGCATACAACAGGATACACGAAGACTAGAAGCACAAACAGACCCTAGTGTCCTATAGTATAGTGAGCAAACTCACCTCAGTCCGCTGACAGTCAAATAGATGCTCGGGCTACTGGAACGGAAAACCCCCGTGCTCAATGAAGGTGAGAAATGAGAGTAAACTATGGATCTACAAGCTCCAACTGTTGGGTTTTATACATAGCAAACAATCCTATGTGTGCATGCAACCGTAATTTGAGGATCTATGTTTTCACTATTAGACATACAAGCATTGAACACAAAAACTAGAAACCCTAGGAGGCACATGTAATTTTCGAAATTAACATATAATTAGGGTTAGGATACATACCTTTATTGTTATACGGTAATAACAATCAAATTCTAGAAGATCTTGAACTTTGGTAGCAAGCGCCACAAGTGTCGCGCCTCTAATGGCTCACAAACAAACCTAGCAACCAAGGATTACTATGGAGAGAGAGAGAGAGAAGGGAAGTGAAAATTCGGCTCTATGACTTTCTTGGAGTGCATGGGACGAAATCCATCCCTATAAGGTTTATATAGGTGATAAGGAAGTTTTAGGATAAGGCAGGTGTATCTTAGATAACCCTAATCCCTTCACTTCCTCCTTAAGGCTTCCAATGCACCCTTAGAGCCCAAGGAAACCCTAGGACACTCTAGATTTCGCTCCCCACCTCTAAGGGAGGTTCTAGAATGCTCAATGCTCAACTTTTGAACATTGTCACCTTTAGTATGTAACAACGCAAATTTTCGAAACAATTTTTCATTTTTAAATCATCAAAAACAATATCAACAAACTGTATCCAATGTCATCATAACAAACTAAACCCGGAATCTCAAAACATAATCTCTATGAGTGTGTACGGATCATGCCGGCGCCTTCCCGCGATCCTCGCTAGTACCTGAAACACATAACACAACAAGTGTAAGCATAAATGCTTAGTGAGTTCCCCAAAATACCACATACAACACATACGCCTTTCCAGGCCATAACTCTGTAGGATCTTCCGATCCATGTGTCTCAGGGGACTTCCGTCCTGAATCCCGGTAGACCTTCCGGTCCTACCCGTATCGACCTTCCAGTCTGTAACCTCTTGGCCTTCCGGTCCATATCATCTTGACCTTCCGGTCCATACCCTCTTGACCTTCCGATCCTTATCGTACATAACATACATAACACATACA